GGCCAAACTCTCTGCACGTCATTAGTTGATCGGACACATAGGGAACTGTAGGTGTGTCTATCTTACAGACTATCATCTAGTTTTTGGTCGGTAGATGGCACAATTACATCACCAAAATTTCTTGTCATGGAATGGGTTAACTTAATTTGATGATGATTTTGACGTCATCTCCAGCTATCTTTATGTCTGCTATAAATCGCAGGACATATCACTTCAAAGCATTTTCTTTGGTTTTTCCAGTCTTATCCAAGATTTTGTGTCTATAATTTGAATTGTAATTCTAGAATTGACACCTCCTAACCTTAATTTCCCCCTTTACTTACAATGGGATTTTGTAAGATTTAGAAAGTAAAATTAATTACCAAGTCATTGGTGTCTGGCTTTCTGGTCTTCTTGTGTGAAGCTATGTGTAAGATTTTTTTTATTTTATGCAGTCCCACCAAATATGTAAATATGGGCCCGTAGCTAGCCCACACCTCCAACATAAATGATCTTCTGTAGAGAACATCTTGTTCATTCTTTCTGGAACTAAATGCCATCTATTAATTACTTTAAAAGGAGATTCCATTAGATTTAAAGAATGTGTAATTTTAGAGACATTTTTCAAAGAGGACCCCCAATCTTTAATTTCTATATTGATATTCAGTTCTTTTTTCCAAATGCAAAGGGTTTGAATTAAATAGTGTTTTTATTCTATTCACCAAGGACAAATCTTTTTTATTAGAATGGAAGTTAAAAAAACTTTTTAATCTTAAAAAGTTAAATAATTATTTTGATGGTAAGTTAAATTCAAAGGGAAAGATTTAAGTGCTCCATTTTTAATAACTGTCCAATCCTATTTATTCCTGCTTGTGTCCACTTATTTAAGGTTAGGTCACAGACTTCTTGTTCAATACATTTCAGATTTAAATGGGTTGGAATTTTATTTTTAATCCTTAAAGTTGTTTTAATTGTTTCCCAGTTCCTCAGCAGGTGTGTTATAATTATATTGGGATCATTTCTTTTACCTATCATTGTTGTGTTCCAAACCAAACTTTCTAGGTTTTTGACTCCCCCTGCTTTAGCCTCCATCATATATCATCCTTCATTGCTGTTATTAATTAACTGCATTCTATAAACATGCAATATTATAGATGTCATAGTTATTCTTAATAATAGGATATGCCATACCTCCCTTATTCTACTTCTGCGTTAGGGTGATTTGGCTTAATCTTGTTTTTTTGCCTTTCCATATATATTGCGTAAAACTATTTTGGATCATTTCCAGCCAACTGTTGGGGATATCTAATGGTAACATCTGAAACAAATAGTTCCATTTTTGGATAACATATGAGTTCACCACATTAATTCTATCCCAAAAGGTTATTTCTAGATTTTTGCGTTCTTTTAGACATCTATTCTTTTTTTGTAAAAGATCCAAAAAATGTATCTACATGATTCTCTTGATTTATCTTGTCAATTTGATACCCAAGTAATTGATTTTCTCTTCTACCCACAAGAACTCATATGTGTTTCTAATTTTCCTTTTACTTCTGTTGTCTAGATTAAGATCTAACATCATAGACTTATTGATGTTTAACTTATAATTAGATACCAAACTATATCTCTCTATATCTTTCATAAGAATAGTTCATGAATAATTAGGATTTGTTAGTGTAATTAAAATGTCTGCGTACAGAATGATTTTTTGATCACTATCAAAAATGTTATATCCACTAATTTCTATGTTATTTCTTATATTGGTAGCTAGTGGTTCAATAGAAAGCAGATATAATATTGGCGAGAGAGGACACCCTTGACAAGTTCCATTTTTCAATAGGAACCATGGAGAACATATGTTCAGACCCTTTGTACGAGCTATTGGATTAACATATAGAGCCATAATAGCCTTCTTTATTCATCCCACGAAGCAGTATTGTATTAATGCTTCCTCTAAATAGTTCCAGTTGACCCTGTCGAATGCTTTCTCAGCATTAACCGACAGGGTCGATAGTGGGACCTTTCTTCTTGTGGCATCGTCCAGAATGTTTATAATCCTTCGTATACTAGTAGAAGGAGTTCTCCCTGGTACATAACCTATTTGATCCTGACATATAATTGTTGGTAATATTTTTTTTAACCTAGTTGCCAAAAGGGAAGCAAAAAGTTTAATGTCTACATCTACAAGAGATATAGATCAGTAATTTCAAACTTCCGTAGATAATTTATTTTGTTTTAGGATGGGTAAGATATTTGCCCTGACCATTTCTTCCGGAAATGAACCTATTTTGGCCGCATGATTAAAAATATTTGTTAGATGGGGACTAATTTTATATATATATCTTATAAAATAAATTACTACGTCCGTCTGGACTCGGGGTTTTGAATTTTTCTAAATTGGATATAGCCTTTTTTTCTTCTTCAATAGTTATCTCTTTATTCAAAGAGGATCTATTTGGGTCAGTTATTTGAGGTAGGTTTGATTTTTTGAGATATTTTTTGATATCCTGTATAGTGGTAGTTGATGGAATGTTATACAATTTACTGTAAAACTCAGTGTTGACCTATTTAGTTAGGTGTTTCTAAGATTCTGTCTTTATCTGTTAATTTTTCAACTTTATTTATTCCTTTTTGCTGTCTAAGTTTTTGAGATAAGATTTTATTGTCTCAATTACCTTTAGAATAGTACTTAAGCTTCAGTCTGTCTAAGTTTTGGACTGTTCTTTCCATAAGACATTGATTTCATTTCTCCTTCACTTCAATTATTTTATTAGAGTTTTCAGCAGTTGGATTTTGTTTATTTATATGAGACATCTTTCCTAATTCTGCATATAGGTCACTTAATTTGAGATTTTTATTAAGTTGAATTTGTAATTTAATAAGATGTCCTCTAATCGCTGCTTTAAAAGCAAACCATAGAGTTGCAATTTTCCAAGTCATATTTTCTACAAAATATCTATTGATATTTAGTTAAATTAGTTTCCTGTTAAATTCTGATCTGAGTAAACTATCATTTAAGTGCCAGGTATATGTTTTTTTTGTCTTTTTGCTTGTTCCAATTTCGCATACTACTCCATTGTGATCTGTCCAGGTTATATCTTTGATATCTATTTTAGTTATTGATTCTATAAGAGTAGGGTCTGTCCAGATCATATCTAGTCTTGAATAAGAAAAGTGAATTCTTGAAAAATGGGTATAATCATATTCAGTAGCATGTAAAATTCTCCATATGTCATAAAATTAAATTCATTCTTTATTTTATTTAAATATTTAGCCTGTTTTTTCTATATATATAATTCTTTATTTTTGTGGTGCAAAGGATTGGACATGCGCTCTTGCAATGCCCCAACAGCAATAACAAGAATTGTAATAGACATATGTTAACAAGTACAAGGCATAGTAGATCACTGCACACATTTTTTGATTTAGTTGTAAATTCACAGCCTATTCGAACATTTCTGAAGTATATAGAAAAATTAATTATGCAGTTAATGCGAGCTACCTAGACATTTGAACGTTATGAGATAATGAGTTATAAGACATGTTTGTGAGACAAGAGTATGAAAATAATTTTTAAAAAAAAGGCAAGATAAGTATGCTTATTAGCATGATAATAATAGGTAACAGGCTTTCTGTAAACATGCCTAGCAGTTATAAGTAGAGATTATAAAAATATAAAAATGGTTAAACATGCTGGAATATCTAATAGAACTATAAAGCGATTGTTCCACCGGGTCTCATTGAAATGTATTGGGCAAGTATGACAACTGGCGTCCACTATACTCAGATAGAGCTTGGGCTGTGGGCCAGCATACAGTGAGGGGAGCGTGGTCAGCCGACTCCTCTATTTGGGTAGCTCAGGGTGTGCACAGAAAGTTCGCCAAGGCTCCGTTTCCCCTTCGTTGTCTTGGACTTGATTGAGGGTACAGTCGTCGTGTGAGTAGGGAAGCTCAGGCAAGAGACACTGGCTCCTTGCTTGGTTGAGGATTTCTTCTGACCCCAGGCCTGTAGGAGGGCCTGTTCTGTAGGTCCACTGCTTCGGGCACTCCTGGGGGTCTAGTTCTTTCCCGCTCCAGTGCAGTTAGAGGGTCTGGATGGTGCGGTCTGCCATCAGTGCTTTATCTGCTGCGCGTGTGGGTGCTGTGTTGAGGCAGCGCCTCGGGTGGCTATCGGTCTAGGTGGGTAGGGAGCCATGTTTGGAGGTACACGTGTGTCTGGAGCACCTTGGATGGGTCCCATTTGCTTCGACGTTGTAGCTTGAGGGGTCTTTAGCTGTTGTCGAGTGCTGAGGCGACGCCATAAATCCTGGCAGATTGCCTCGAACCTGGCATTAAACGATTCCCTCCACTGCTGTATCTTTGGGATTGGTCTGCTGTGGCGGCCATCTTGGCTTCGCAACGTGGCTTTTAGGGTTCTGTTTGTGTTATTGTCGGATGTTAGCTTTGGGTACCCAGTGGGGACCGGGATAATCCCCGCCGGCCCGGGGATGGGGGGGAAGCGGGGCTCCTGAAGTGAAGCACTATGTGACCGGCACCACCACGGGAGAGTGGCCGCCTCTCACCTCCGCCAGCACCTGCTCAGGTAGGCCTCTGCCAGGGATACGGTTGCTGTTCAACAAGGGGGTCTGGTCCGTGTCGGACAGCTTGCTCTTGGCTTGCTTATGTGTCAGCTTGGAGCTCAGAGCCTTGGTTAGCAGGGGTGTATGCTTGAAATTGCTTGAATTTAGCTCAAGTTAGTAGGAGCTAGTGAGAAACACGTCCACTTGGGCCTGGACACCAGGCCCCACCCCTCCCAAAGATTTAGCCTGTTTAACAACCATTTTATTAATTTTGGCCCCTTTTATTTTTTTTTTATCTAAGATAGGGTCCCAAACTGATTTGAAATCTCCTGCAAGTCAAATTTGTCCTGCTTTTATTTCTTCTACTTTTTCGAATATATTTCTTCAAGGGACACTATAGTCACATGAACAACTTTAGCTTGATGAAGCAGTTTTGGTGTATAGAACAGCCTCGCTGCTCAATCCTGCCATTTAGGAGTTAAATCCCTGTGTTTATGAACCCTAGTCACACCTCCCTGCATGTGACTTGCACAGCCTTCCATAAACACTTCCTGTAAAGAGAGCCCTATTTAGGCTTTCTTTGTTGCAAGTTCTGTTTAATTAAGATTTTCTTATCCCCTGCTATGTTAATAGCTTGCTAGACCCTGCAAGAGCCTCCTGTATGTGATTAAAGTTCAATTTAGAGATTGAGATACAATTATTTAAGGTAAATTACATCTGTTTGAAAGTGAAACCAGTTTTTTTTTCATGCAGGCTCTGTCAATCATAGCCAGGGGAGGTGTGGCTAGGGCTGCATAAACAGAAACAATGTGATTTAACTCCTAAATGACAGTGAATTGAGCAGTGAAATTGCAGGGGAATGATCTATACACTAAAACTGCTTTATTTAGCTAAAGTAATTTAGGTGATTATAGTGTTCCTTTAAGTAAGTAGCCGGAAATTTATTTGGAAGATAAATATTACATAAAGTATATAGTTTTTCATTTAATCTACAAACTACCACCAAAAATCTTCCTTCAGGATCACACAGTTTATAGAGTATTTCAACTTTAAATTTTTCTCCAAATATTGTTGCCACACCGCATTGATTTTTTTTTTTTTTATCTGAAGCGTAAATAATATTTGGGAATCTCTTTCCACCCCACGCTTGTCTATCAGATTGTCTCCAATGGGTTTCTTGGAGGAAACCTAAGTCAATGTGTTCTTTAGTTATGTATTTGTATAATAAAGATCTTTTTGTTGGTGAGTTCATACCGTGGACATTTAGTGTTATCATTTTAATAATTTGCTAATATATACCGCCTCCCTCTCTTTTTGGGCATAAACCTGCTGCATTTTTTCAAGCATCATTGCAGATACATATAAACAAAAAAACATATATCTAAAATCAGTTGGGGATATCAAACCCCAATTGTGCAAAGGTTGTTTCCTCAGCATACTGAGGATTCAGCCTTGTGCTGTGTCTTTTATAGACACTAAGTAGGTTTAAGCCCGGTCAGGAGTTTCTATAATCTACTGCTCTTTTGCAGGTACACGTCTTTGAACCTCACTTTATCTTTTATCATCATTCATATTATACTAAGCATATTTTCATAATGGTTATATGTGATCATTGCTTCGTTATTAGGGTATAAACCAGAAGAGGGAGGGGGAACGGGGGGGAAAAAATTACTTTAATTTATATCCTTTTTATCCTTTTAATCCTTTGTTTATATTTCTCGTATATACTCTCCTGATGTAACACATTAACATTCTAAGATCAATTTTCTCTGTAGTGTTTCCAAATATATCCATAAATATTAATTACCATGGTGCAGTTAATCGTTAATTATATTAATCTAATGTGTACCAATATCTTAATGAAATATGTATGTGAATATTTATTAATAATGTGTTAATATGTTAATCAAACTTTGTCCAATATATTGAGTTCTCTATGTGAGTTATCTCCATATTCTTCATTTTCTCCCCTTATCCCCTTTAAGTATATCTAAATGCTTTTTTATTTAAATTGTCAATATTCCATTCTTTTAATATAGTGTATTCATGTATATATTTCTGTGCTCAAAGAAATATTAGTTGCATATATTTCCCCTTCCCCTTCTCTTTTGCTTTTTGTCCATCCCTTTCTCCTTCTATCCTCCTCCTTCCCTGTCCCCTCATTCTTCCCCTCCCCTTTCTCCCTTCCCCTCCTATTAAGTGCTTACATTACAGTGTATCTATATTTCCTTTAATCTATCCATATATTTCTTTCTCCTTTTCTTTCTTCTACATACTTAAGTATTTATGAAATCTGTGAAAGAAAAAAAAAGACCTAGTTCAATTTCAATACATATCAATATTACTTAATTAATATCAATAGTATACATATTAGCTCTCTCCCTTCATTTCACCCCATCTCCTCACAGGCTATTTTTCTCTAAGCAAGGACCACATTCTTCTTTATCTTCTTTCTCCATTTAAGTCTGGGACATTCATCAGTGAAACTGATTTCATCCATATCATAGCTGTATCTAGTGTGGTAAATGACAGTCTTTCCCCTTTCCAATTGAATCTTAAGGCCGCAGGAAAAACCCGACATAATTTTTTTTGAGAAATTAAGTCACTGTTGAAAATGATGTTCTCCAGGTTCTTGTCTAATAGGAAAGATCCTGCAAGAATATTATATCTTTGAAACAGGTGTTTTTCCCCGAAATTTCTTGTCTTGTTTTCATTAATTTTTCTTTAAATTGAACTGAACGGAAATTTGCTATAACATTTCTTGGATATTGTGAGGATATGTTGCTTGGTTTTTATATACGATGTACTCTTTCCAAAGAACAGTCAGATGTTGACATGTCTGGTAGTAATGCTTTAAATAAGCCATTTAAATATTCTTCAAGTTTCTCTAATTCAATTTCTTCAGATATTCCACGGAACCTTAGATTTGATCTTCTCGATCTATCCTCTAATTCTGATATTTTTTGTTCTAACCTGTTGATTTTACTTGTTAGATAATCTGTTGTTTTCTTTAAGAGACGCATATTGATCTTCAATAAGTGTAAATTTTTCTTTCATCGTATTGATTACTTCTGAGATCCTTTTTGTAACTTGTTTAATCTCCTTAAAGTTGGTTAGCATATTATATCTAAGCCCTCGTAATTGTGTCTCTAATAGTTGTTTTAGATGTTCTTGTAAGCTGTTATAATCAGTGGACTGTAAAGCTATAGATTCCGCACTTATTGTCACAAAAGAGCTTTCTACTTTAGTTTGTGCTTCTTGGGGATCTTTTGAGGGGGTAGGAGTAAAGAAGCCTGAAAGCCTATTTTCAGTTTTTTGTGATGGTTTCTTTTATCTGCTATGCTATTTTTTATACCATTTCAAGAGGAAGAGAAAACAATGATTATTTGTTTTAAATTCTTTGTAGTTTCCTTCTCAATCTTCGTGAGCTTTTGCCATGTTGCAAAAAATAAGATTAATAAAAAAAATGGCACTTTTCATCAAAAATATCATTATATTTGGAAAGAAACCAAAAAGGGACTTCTTACTTCTGGCTTCTTCTACTAAACTGCTAAATCTGTTAGTGACAGATTCATGTATAAGTACTAGCTGATTTTTATAGCATAGTTTTAGCTGTGTCCCCTCTCCACTTTTTCCCTTGTCTCTCATATAAAGGCCACAAGTATATACATATTTACAGATTTTCAAACGGCAAAGAAAAGCAAAACACCAGCAAGTCAACGAAAAAAATAAATAAATAGAAGTGTATCACTTTAGCTTGCTCTCCAACTGCTTTTTTCTTAGAGTAATAGCAGCTAACTGGTATGCTGGTGTGCTTGTTTACCTCTTATTTCTTAAAAATCATTCACAAAGACTTTGTACGCGTGTACCTTTTAATTTGCTCTTACTCCTGCATATTCCTGCTCCACCTTACTGCAAAGAGAATCTATTTTTTTCCTTCTTGCTTCAAATCTGTCTGCTTCCTCCTTGCTCTTTTTTATCTTGTGGAATCCACAGATAGTGCCGTTTGAACTGTAGCGAGTGGCAGTGTAAACTTCCGATATACTCTCTGTACCATCAGGACACCGTTTCAAGCCGCCAAAACATTGTACCCACGTGTGGCTTATGGAACTACAGCAACGATGTCGGCCAACTCCTTCGATCAGTTAAGTAGTTTTTTCTTGCTTGCTTCAGCACCTTAACTGGGCACACCCACCTCCTGTGCGTGTCCTTTTTTTCACGCACCTCTAAGTAAATTAATAATTTTGCATACATAAGAGGAAATCAGCACAGCAAAAGAGAAAAGTATATTTAAAAGAAGAAAAAGTACCACAACAAGAGGTTATAGTCTTAAATTAGAGAGGCAAAGGTTAATAATATCAGGAAGTTTTACTTGACTGAGAGGGTAGTGGATGTCTGGAATAGTCTTCCAGCTGAGTGGTAGAGGTTAACATAGTGAGGGAGTTTAAGTATGCGTGGGGTAGGCATATGGCTATCCTAGATGTAAGATAAAGCCATGGACTAGTGAAAGTATTTAGATAATTGTGCGGTCTAGATGGGTCGAATGGTTCTTATCTGCCATTACACTCTATGTTTCTATATTTCTCTGAGGTCTATAGGTCAATAAGTCGCTGAATGAGAAATATAGCAGACAAGCTACTGTGAATTGTGTCTTTTTAACCCCTGTTAACAAGTTTCTTATGGACAATATATATCAAATTGACATGAAAAAAGAGAACTTTTACAGTCAGGTATGAGACAATACAAAGAACACAATATTAATAAAAACAGCAGTATATATTCAAGTATATATTTTATGTTATATAGTATATAAAATTCAAGTATATATACAGAAGATAAGATATTGTGTTGTCAGCGCTTAGTGAATAATCCCCTTAGATATAATCAGGGGTAAATGTCTTAACAAATGTATCTATAATAATTAGAAACAGCAATAGCATACAGTGTTAAGAGTATCAATGTAACTGATAGTAACAATCAGATTGTAACAAAAAATCTAAATTGTATCTTAGTCCAGTATAAAATATATAGCAGGGTCCAAAGTGACAGGAGGTCCACAGTGTTGTTTGGGAACACAATCTTTGATTTTGAATCCAGAAGAAAAATGTGATGCTTATCTCTAAGGACCACAATAAAAGCTTATCTGGCTGCAGTCTTATCTCTCCTCTGCTTCAAGGATGCCTTCCGGAGTGTTCACCTCATGCACTGAGGCTGGCTGTGGATTCAGTAAAGGTTCTCCTCTTTGTAATTCTGCCTCCGGTTAGCATAAAAACTTGTCATGCAGAGTGTTGACAGCAAAACAAGATAAAATGCAGGATGATGGATCACCTAATCAACGCATTTCTCCCCTCTTAGTGGGCTTTTTCAAGATAGGTGTTAAGTGTGCTAATCTGCAGTTAAATACCTTTGCCGGGAAAACTGCAAATTTAACTGCAGATTAGCACACTTAACACCTATCTTGAAAAAGCCCACTAAGAGGGGCGAAATGCGTTGATTAGGTGATCCATCATCCTGCATTTTATCTTGTTTTGCTGTCAACACTCTGCATGACAAGTTTTTATGCTAACCGGAGGCAGGATTACAAAGAGGAGAACTTTTACTGAATCCACAGCCAGCCTCAGTGCACGAGGTGAACACGGACAGCATCCTTGAAGCAGAGGAGAGATAAGACTGCAGCCAGATAAGCTTTTATTGTGGTCCTTAGAGATAAGCACCACATTTTTCTTCTGGATTCAAAGTCAAAGATTGTGTTCCCAAACAACACTGTGGACCTCCTGTCACTTTGGACCCTGCTATATATTTTATACTGGACTGAGATACAATTAAGATTTTTTTGTTACAATCTGATTGTTACTATCAGTTACA